GTGGAGTACAGGATCAGGTTTAAGGTGCTGGTTTTAACCTTTAAAGCCCTATACGGCCTAGGACCCTTGTACCTACGGGACCGCCTCTCCTGGTATGTCCCACAGAAGAACTTACGGTCTGCAAATAAAAACATCCTGAAGATCCCAGACGACAGAGAGGTTAGGCTGGCCTCAACTAGAGCCAGGGCTTTCTCGGCCGCGGCTCCAATCTGGTGGAACGCTCTGTCACAAGAGACTAGGGCCCTACGGGACCTGACATCTTTCCACAGGGCCTGTAAGACAGAGCTGTTCCACCAGGCCTTTGGTCAGGGCGCAGCCTGACCCCCTCCTCTGGCAATCTGCACAGAATTTTGCTTTGGTTGCCATCAATTTGATTTTAATTAATTTTTATAATGAAAGGTTTTTAGAATGTTGGATTATTTTGATTGTTGTTAGCCGCCCTGAGCCCAGCTTCGGCTGGGGAGGGCAGGGTATAAATAATTTATTATTATTATTATTATTATTATTATTATTATTATTATTATTATTTAGATATAAAGAATATGAGGATTTGGGGGGTAGGAATGTTATGCTCCTCAATGCCAGTCCTGCAGTTCGGACTCTGTGTTGGTGTCTAGAGCCATTGCTTATACCATTGCTTATACCATTCTGTGTCAAACTGACATTCCCACCATTCACATGTTGGGTGAGTATCTTCTCTGCCTGGATCAATTCTCTTGCATAAAATATCATGTCAGTGTTTCCTCTCTCTGTTGTACCCCACTGAGGTTTAAAACAGTCTTATTCCTGGGTGTGTTTCATTGGGAAGGTGTATTGGTTGAATTCACCAATGGCTCTCTTTTCTGGCACGGTGGGTGTATGATAAGTGAAATCAAAAAATATTATACAACACTGAAATATAGAACACCATTAGTGTGAATGGGGAAGCACTACAAACTGGCATTGTACAAAAAAAAACCTGTTTGTCTAGTTCCTTAACAGTTTCAATCATCTGCAAAAGAGGCATCCATTTTTCTCTCTCTCAGCCTTATTCTTGGGGCATGGAAGCATTTCTTTCAAAGGTTAGCCCCAGCAGGATTTTGAGCTTCCTCTACTGTTGTGCACATGCTTTTATTTCTGGTAAACATTTATCCAGCATACTGTAGCCTCCCTGGCTGCCTTTGTTTCCTGATCTGAAAAAGCTCCATGGGAGAAGTGAGCCTCGTTATGGCTCCATCTGCACCATATATTTAATGCACCATAGCTTCCCCCAAAGGATTGTGGGAGCTGTAGTGTCTTAAGACTGCTGAGGGTTTTTAAGAGACCCATACTTTCCTTCCAGAGCTGCAGTTCTCAGCGTGGTTCAGCATTCAATCCCACTTACCAGGGAACTCTAGGAAATGTAGCTCTGTGTGTGGGGAATAGGGACCTCTGAACAACTCTCAACAACCTTAACAAACTACAGTTCTCAGGATTCTTTGGGGGAAGCCATGACTGTTAAAGTGGCAGCCTTAAATATACAGTGCAGATAGGGCCTATGTCTAGCCTTGAGTGTTAATTGAAACTCAGGCACCCAGGAAGGCTGCAGTATGCAGGCCACTGGTGAGATGATTTGTAAAATGAAAGGGCAATTGCAGGGGCCGATCAGTCACCTCAAAAGAAAAGTAATTGCATAGAAACCCCTGCACCCCACCTATGAAAATTTCTCCCAAAAATTATCTCCCTTTTGATACCATAATTTCTGAATGCAACTTCTATTCTCATTAATTTATAGAGAATGGGTTTTTTTTTGGGGGGGGGAATAAATGCAAGTTGTTGTTTTTTGGCACAGCACTACTGTGAGCTGGGAGAGACCTCTCGGAAAACAAACTATTTTATTTTTCCTGAACACTCAACGAGAGAGCTCATAAATATTGAACTGATTTCAAATTAAGCTGAGGGAAAGTCACCCCTCATTAAAATTAATTTGGCTCAGCCCTGCCATTGTCAGTTAGGGTAAAATAGCCAGGCAGGAGTGAAGGTTGTTTTATGCTGAACTTGCAAATGGGGGCAGGCTACAGGGCTTCGTGAGCCAGAGTTGGCTCCCAGTTGCCAGTCCTTGCAATAGACTTCTCTATGAAGATGTCAGATTTTGAATATTGCATACCAATGTCAGCCAGCCAAAGTGATTCAGTGGATAGAGATCTGGATGCGGTCCCGTGAGGTCAGGGCTTGATTCCCTCTCAATGTGTCTTTCGCACTGGGTCGCCTTGGCTAAGTCGCTCTGCCAGTTTCAATTCCTCACATATAAATTGGGAGCAATAGTTGCCCTCATCACATCCTGCACTTGTTGCAAAGATGAATGGCAGACACAAAGGATATATATATATATATATATATATATATCCTTTAAAGTGCTGTATAAATGATGATTGAAAATGGTCTTGAATCAAGGCTCTTCTTATTGAATTTATGAGTCTTGTTTCATTGTGACTCTTACAGAAATGTTTCAAGTTGAGTTACTGATTTTTTTGCTGTGCGGATGTCAGAGCAGGTATCTCCTCTTCCCTCCCTCCCTCTGTTCCACTGACATTCCCATTTCCCCCCATATTTGAGATCTTTGGAAGCTGCACTTTTCAGATAGATAGACAGATAAAGTTCAGATTGGAAATTCTAGTTTGGCAACGTGAATGCATTTATGTTAGTAAGGCTGCAGTTGTAGTCCTGCTTAGCTGGGAGTAAGCCCCATTGAATTCAATAGGACTTTCTCCTGAGTAGACATAGTTAGGGTTGTGCTGCAAATCCTCTCTTATATTCCTACTGTTTGGAACCTAAAAAAAAAAAAAAAAAAAGCATGGACCTGCACTGCCATTCTACAATGCTGTTTTTTGCTTAATTTTTCAGAGATTCAGTTAGTATTATTTTATTTTCTGCTTTTAATATAATCTGTACTTGCTTTCGCTGTGATGTTTTGTAACCTGACCGAAGACCATTTGGTGACAGCTGGGCTATAAATACATATAAATAAATAAGTAATAGACTGAGAGTTTGATAGTATGTAAATATGCTGTTAAATGTAAAGGTTTAATTTAAAAGGCAATGTATAAATAATAAAATTATTATTATGATGCAATAAGATAATAACGGATTATTATTATTATGCAATAAGATGATAAGAAATTTTTGAGAGTTTGGCATTGGTCAATATCTCCTACACTGACTTGCAGTGGAATCACTCTATTACTAATGCTTGATTGTTAAAAAGCCAACCTTCTTGAAGCTGTCTACAAAAGATTAAAACATTGAAATTGTCAGTAAAAACTACAATTTAAGATACTCGAAAAATAATTAAAATGAGCAAGAAGCTAAAAAACACATTAAAATGCATCAACATTGTATGTGTCTGCAAAGGCTTGCATGCACAAAACTGGTTTTGGCAGGCACCCAAAAGAGTACAGTGAAGGTGTCTGCCTGGTGTCTGTAGGAAGAGAGTCCTAAAGCATAGGTAATGAAGCACGAGAACATTTACGTATTTGCCCGAATATAAGCCACCCTTTTTTTTAAACTAAATTCCAACCATGAAAAGTTAAAGTGTGGCGTACATTGACAACCTTACGATATCGCTGCTGAAACAGCTGCCCTAGGTCTGTGGCCCTGCCTTGCCTTCCAATGCCGGAATAGAGAGTGTCCTCTCCCCCGCAGGATACCACCACAAGGGCCGTTGGGGGTGCGGGCCAACGGTGCCCATCCTGTCTGTGGCTCCCAAACCTCCCCCAACCAGCCGAAAAGAAGGGGGAAGGGGAGAAGGCTGCTGGCAAAGCAGCATAGCTCCCCCCTCCAAGAAACAGCCAAGGAGTGTGGGGAATGGTACCCATAGGGTTTTCTTCTACACTTGCCATTTACGGGTGTGAGTGTCTGCAGAATTTTAAGGGAGTGGCTAATTTTCAGGTATTGTCTCTCCCCCCCCCCCTTGAATTTACAGGTGTGGCTTATATTCGGGTGCGGCTTATATCCAGGCCAATACGGTATTTCTTGCAAATTCAATACAAGTAACTTGCAACCGTACCAGTTCCACTCAGCATTATCCCCACTGACTGTTGGTGGTTCTCCAGGGTTTCTTACAGCGGGTAATAATAATAATAGGAATTGCACCAGAAGGTCATACATCAGGTATTAGCTTGCTTGATGGAGATATATTTGCTATTTTTAAGTGGGGGGGGGAGGGGTGTTGATTGCTTTGCCACTGGAAGTGCTACCTAATGGAACCCCAGCAGTTCCATTAAGTTATGCCCCAGTGGAGAGACCCTGCATTTTCTGCTGCAGACCTTAATACACTGCAGAGTGTAAGCAGCATAACACAGCTGAAGTGGGCTTCAAAGGGAGCTGGTTGAGCCTATCAGCTTCCTAAGTACCTGTCTGTCCAGGTTGCAGCGCTTGCTTTGCTGTCTTTTGACAGCTGCCAAGTGGTTGGTGGGTAGGATGGAGAAGCAGAGAAACGCAGCAGATGTTTTGGGAAATGGACTCTTCTCCCTCCTTCCCTCTCTTCCTTTTCCTTTGTGGTCCAGAGCTGCCTTGCTGTCCTGCCTCTCTCTTTTTTGGTTTCGTTGTTTATCATGCTAAACATATCAGATAATTGAACACTAATGCCTCTGTATGGATCACTAGGCGCAATACGCCTGGAGGACAAATCAATTTTCTTGTTACCTTGCGAGAGCGCGGTCTCGGGTGTGCTGCCTGTGTTTTCCGTTGCTTCTCGTTTGCACGCTACTTAGCGGTTGCAATGCGGCACTCTGTTTTTGCAGCCTGCGCAACTCACATGCAACAAGGACACTGGAGGAAGGGGAAGAGGGCCTGTGTTGCCCTCTAAGCACTCTTTGGACGAGGTTTTATTTTGGACATTTGTCTGCTTTCTGTACACCTCTCATGTGCCAGGGTCTCCAGAAGGATCTTCAGATCAGCCAGGCCTGAGCGCCTTAATCTCTGTGCCAGAAGAGGGAGCCACCTGTTCACTGAGCATCACCTATGCATCTGGTCAGAATGAAGCAACAACAGCTCAGTTGCTTAGATCATGGTGCTGCTAATGCCAAGGTTGCAGGTTCGATCCCTGTATGGGGCAGCTGCATATTCCTGCATTGGTCTAGATCAGTGGTTCTCAATTTGTGGGTCCCCAGATGTTGTTGGACTACAACTCCCATCATCCCTGACCACTGGTCATGCTGGCTAGGAATGATGGGAGTTGTAGTCCAACAACATCTGGGGACCCACAGGTTGAGAACCACTGGTCTGGATGATCCTCAGGATCCCTTCCAACTCTATGATTCTGTGATTTCTAACAACTGCATTTATATCCCATTTTTTTCTCCAAGGAGCTCAAGGTGGTATACATGGTTCTCCCCACAACAACTCTGAGAGGCAGTCTAGGCTGTGAGGCATTGACTGCCCCAAGGTCACCCACTGAAATCCATGGTTGAGTGGGGATTTCAACCCTGGTTTTCCAGTACCAGGGATGCAGGTAGCGCTGTAGAGCCTAGGACTTGCTGATCAGAAGGTTGGCGGTTTGAATCCCCGCGACAGGGTGAGCTCCTGTTGCTCGGTCCCTTCTCCAGCCAACCTAGCAGTTCGAAAGCACATCAAAGTGCAAGTAGATAAATAGGCACTGCTCTGGCAGGAAGGTAAACAGCGTTTCCGTGCGCTGCTCTGGTTCGCCAGAAGCGGCTTAGTCATGCTGGCCACATGACCCGGAAGCTGCACGCTGGCTCCCTCGGCCAATAAAGCGAGATGAGCACCGCAACCCCAGAGTCGGCCACGACTGGACCTAATGGTCAGGGGTCCCTTTACCTTTTACCTTCCAGAACCAACACTCTAATCACTACACAGAACTACAACCGCAATCACCTTAGGATGGCCCTACAGATAATGTTCTGCTTGAACTGTCGGCCGGGGAGAGATGGCAACGTGTGATCTTAACCTGTAGCATCCTCATGTTACAGATGGAGGAAGTGAGGCCCATGTTATTTAAGTGGGATGTTTTGCACTTGGAACTTGGCACATTTGCAAACATTTAAACAACGAGAAATGTTTGCTTTAACTCTCTGTTAGAGACTCTAGGATGGTCTTCAACTGTAGTTGACTCTTTTTTTAAAAAAAACAAAACCAAAGCACCCTGGGGAATGAGATGATGATAGCAAATATTTTTCACGCAACTTTAGGCGAGGGCCCTGTTGGGTCAGGTCCTGGGCTTGTTAATATTGTGTGATGCCCGAGGGGAGAGAGAGTCCTCACTTGGGTTGCTCCTTACCGTATTGATAAACGTGACTCTGCAGTCCCTCGGAAGCTGTCGGTCTGGCTCCGATATCCACAGAATAACGAGGCGCACTAAAGTGACAGATCTATTTCAGTTTTCCCTTCTTTTATAACGTGCCTGTCACATTGCCCGTGGCTCATGGAGATTGCTATAATAAAGGGGCACTCAAAATAACAAACCGCTGACACTGCTCTCCCGGAAACGCTTCTTGACCAATAGAAGAATTGAAAACACAGATTGAATGTTTGCAGACATTGTTGTTGAAAACCTACCAGTCAAGGGATTATGAGTGCCTCTTCAGTCTGCAGAGAGGTGTGTGCATGGAAGTTACAAATGTACCCCAAGGATGGCAAACAGGTGGCTTGCCAGAGCCGTTTAACAATCAATTCCTCTTCCCAGAGAACTCTGAGAACTGCAGCTCTGTGGTGAGAGTAGGGGGTCTCCTAACAACCCTCAACACCTTTCCCAAACTTTGTTGTTGTTTAGTTGTTTGGTCGTGTCTGACTCTTCGTGACCCCATGGACCAGAGCACGCCAGGCACTCCTGTCTTCCACTGCCTCCCACAGTTTGGTCAAACTCATGCTGGTAGCTTCGAGAACACTGTCCAACCATCTCGTCCTCTGTCGTCCCCTTCTCCTTGTGCCCTCCATCTTTCCCAACATCAGGGTCTTTTCCAGGGAGTCTTCTCTTCTCATGAGGTGGCCAAAGTATTGGAGCCTCAGCTTCAGGATCTGTCCTTTCAGTGAGCACTCAGGGCTGATTTCCTTAAGAATGGATAGGTTTGATCTTCTTGCAGTCCATGGGACTCTCAAGAGTCTCCTCCAGCACCATAATTCAGAAGCATCAGTTATTCGGCGATCAGCCTTCTTTGTGGTCCAGCTCTCACTTCCATAAATCACTACTGGGAAAACCATAGCTTTTATTATACAGACCTTTGTTGGCAAGGTGATGTCTCTGTTTTTTAAGATTTCCCAAACTACAGCTCCCATTATTCTTTGGAGGAATCCAGGACAGTTTAAAGTGGAAATAGCACCCTTGGGGCTGGTGGCAGGATGCCTGGTGGTTTCAGCTACTTCAGGGAGTTGCAAAGTATAATGGTTTGTTTGGTCAATGTGTTGAGCATCCCTTCCCGGACTGGATTAACCCTGGTCACATTCACACAATACATTTTAAGCACTCCTGTGTCACTTTGAGAGTCCTCGCTTCCGCCAAAGAATCCTGGGAACTGTAGTTTGTTAAAGGTGCTGGTAACTGTAGGTCTGTGACAAGTTTTCTAACAACTCTCGGCACCTTTAACAAATTATAATTCCTAGGGTTCTTTGGGGGGAAGTCAGGACAGTTTAAGGTGGCATCATAATGCTTTCAATTTATTGTGCAGATGAAACCAAAATTTCACTGGGTATTTTTTAAAAACATTGATCTCTTTGTTGTGATGTTGTCTTTTTCTACCAAACGGTGGTTTGGATTGGTATTCTATAATGTCTTGATCTTGTTATATTAATGACTTTGCAGAAGATTTTTGTTTTGTTCTGGGGGTGTACTTTGAAATGAAAGCTGCTTTATGATTTTTGGTTCACATTTGAAGGCAGGCAGGGTACAAACTTTCCATGATTGCTCAAGGTCCACTCAGATGCAGTGGGGCTATTTAAAATCAGAGTTGGTCCCCACCTTCAAATCAGAGACTGTGCCAGGAGCTAAGATCTTTGAACACCAGCATCCTGGAAGAGCAAGTCCAACTGCCCTGAAAATCCTGGGACCATCCTAAAAGCCCTCTAGCCATTGCAGCTTCTTATGGTGCCACAGAGATTCCTGACTTCATGAGAGGCCTTCCCTCCAAATAGTGTTTTAACGTGTTACTGGGAGTTCAGATCCGTGCATCTTTCTAACACACTTCTTAGAGCTATGCCTCCCACCCCACCCCCCAAATGCCACCTCCTGTTTTTATGAAAACAAGATCAGGGTCACATTAATGCTCCTAAGAAAGCCTTGGTTCCAGCTTGTTTCATTCGGCGACTACTTCCCTGCCCTGGCCAAGGAGGAGGCGTGGGGTGTGTGGGGACAACCCCATTTTTATCAGAGGTATTTTGGAGGATATAGTAGAGTGCACCACTGATGCCTGTCCCAGGACCACCAGAACACATTTTTTTTCTGTCACCCACTTACCGTATTTTTCACTCCATAAGACGCACCTGACCATAAGACGCACCTAGCTTTTAGAGGAGGAAAGGGAGAAAGTCCCATTTTTTTGGGGGGGGATCAGCTCAAAGTTGTGCAGCTTCTTTTGCAAAGGGGAAAAGCCCCTTTCTTGAGGATTAGCTCAAAGTTGTTGAGCTTACTTTGCAAAGGGGAAAAAAAATCCTGTTTTTATGAGGTTCAACTCACAGTTCTGCAGCTTCTTTAGGAAAGGAAAGGGAGCCGTTTCTACAGTTTCCAGACAGATAATCTAATCAGCCAGTCACATGTCGCTGGGGAAACAAACGGCCTCCGTCTGCAGGAGATTGATTTATTGCTCAGATAAATCCTGGCGTCCAGCCCGCTTCGGCTGCGTAGCTCTTGCCAGGCCTCTGCATTCCAAACTCCACATTCCGATGCTCTGAGCAAAAGCAGAGATCAGCAGCGGTAAGAGAAAGCTTCAAAAAACTCTAGTGCATTCTTCAGTGTGCTTAAATAAAGTCCACTCAGGATCTTAGCAGCTAAAAGCAGTTTTATTTACAGCAGACTATCCATTATCTATCACAGCGAACAGCATTGTGAAAACACGTCCACTCTCCTCAAAAGCGAAAGTAGAGAGAGAACAAAGGCTGGAGGCTCTCGGAAATGACGAACCTCCCCCCTCCAAATAGTAGGCAGGGCGTACACTCTGAGCTGTTTAACCATGTAAGCTCAGGTTCTCTTCACACCCCCTCTCGCCCTGCGCTACTGTGGGGAAAGTATGTACAGAACTTACCCCCAACTCCAAACCACCACAAAACTCCCCATGACGCTTGAAGCTTAAAGGTTTGGTAAATCCATCGGCCAAGTTACTGTGACTGGCACAGTACTTCAGCCGTATCAAACCTGACTGAACACTCTGACACATATTTTGGAAACGTATGTCCAGATGCTTGGTTCTGGCCTTAAATTGCGCAGATTCAGCCAATTTCAAACAAGGTTGATTGTCCTCCCAAACCGTGATGGGCAAGCTACAATCCCCATAGATCTCTTGCACCAAGCATCTATAGAACTCTAGTTCCCGGCACAAATCTGACAGTGCACTGAATTCAGCCTCAGTAGAAGACAGCGCAATGAGACTTTGCTTCTGGGACTTCCACCCAACTAGTGACTTCCCAAACTTTACCACCAATCCAGACACAGACTTGCGGTCCTGCGAATTCGCCCAGTCACTGTCCGCATAGCATGTGAGCTTCGCCTCACCTTCAGCTGGCAGCTTAAGACAGAAGTCTTTGGTATGCTGCAGGTAGCGCAGTACCCGCTTGATACCGTGCCAAGCACTCACACTGGGCTTTGACGCTTCCCTACTTAGTAGGTTGGTAGCAAAGGCAATGTCTGGTCTGCTCCATTGGGACAGATACAACAGACTACCTAGAGCTGACTGAAAGAGCTCAGCATTCTCGAACTCAGCACTTTCTGCTTGCTGGCTATCTTTCACGAAGTTCGTCTCCATGGGTGTCCGAACTCCTGCACAATCGGACATTCTGAACTTCTCAAGCAACTGCTCAATCTTGCCTTTCTGACTGAGCAAGAAGCTACCATCCTCAGTTCTTGCTATCTGGACGCCCAGGTAGATCTTTACTGCACCCAGGTTCTTGAGCTGAAAC